GAGGAAGAAAACCTCCAAACAAATGCAAAGCAGAGTTCAGTCAATGCAGTAAAAATAGCAACCAAGAGGAAAAATGCAAATATACTTACAAACTTCAAGCCTCAGGACAGATTATACTCAAGAGCGGTACTTTTCCCCAACCACAACAACATACTTAAACATTTTAAATCCCTCTTTGCTAAAATGGTTCAGCTATTATAACTGCGACCAAATCAGTGGGCTAAATGCTGACATAACAACACAGGTCCTGTGGGTATCTCAACTCCCCCTGAGCATGAATGAAGAGCCGATGCCAAGGTTACATCTTTCCTACCTCTGACATATAAATTGGCAGGGGCAGAATAGCGAGTGCCCGCGCTGTTGGTGGCAACACACTCATATTTTCCTTGGTCAGATTCTTCGCTCTGTTCGATCTGAAGGGCGCCTGTATGGATATAAAATATATTGCCAAAAAGATGGTCAGAGAAGGCTTTCTCAGCTCAGAAAGCTAAACCTCTTAACAAAATGAAAAACCCTGAAAGCGAAGGTCCGCTCAACGTCGATTCAATCTCTCGCTAAGGTGCACAGACAGAAAATGATGTGATGAGAAAAACATATAGAGATTATTTTTTCTTTTTTTACATCATCAGTGCTAGCATAAGAAAACAATATCTCTTTTCCCAAGCAAGCCTTCTAGTCATAATTAACACTCTTATTTCCTAGACTAATAAAATGAAGATGGGTGAGACTGCTTCAAGGAAGTATGGCTTTTAAATAAAACAAAAGATTAATTTTTTGGTTTTGTTTTTGTTTTGTTTCATTTTGGTCATCAAAAGTGGCGCAAAAGATAGGTACGCTCAAAAAAATACCAGGCCGGGTGTTCAAGAAAGTCTTCTGTGGAAGAAAGCCAAAAATTCGCAGCGACCACAAAAAGGTTGCACAAAGTGAAAAATTAAAATTAGTCATTAGACATTATCAAAATATCACTTAAAGAAACAAAACTCCCTTAAGACATGCAGATGTTTTCAGAAAAGAAAGACAGTTTGCCACGACTTACAATCATTTTATTACGTTTGCTGAAAAACAAAGAGCAGTTGAATTAGAAGATTGAAAAAAAAGTTAAAAAGCATGGCCTATGCCAGCGAGGAAGAGCCGACCAACCACTGCTTGAGGACCTCAAGGCGGATCCCCTAAGACACCCATCAAAATCCACCAGTGGGATTAGCAGTGTGGTGTCACAAAACCCCAAGAAAAATACAAAACAAGAATTACAAAAGAAATGAACACCAAGTCAAAGTATGAAAACCCAGCAATACCACATACCACCAAGAATACTGAGCACCTTTTGTTTCCATAGCCTGAAGGACGGAAGATCCAAAAATCCAGAGGCGAGAAATCCAAGAAAAAAAGAAGTGGGGAAAAAAGCATTGCTGTCAGGTTGTAGGCGAGTGGGAGCGGGTGGAAAGGGGAGTCATTCTTTGACTTTTAAGACGTTACGAGAAAAAAGAATTGAAGAACAAAAGCAAAAACCTTTTGAAAGATAAAGACAAAAAGTTGATGTTCCAGGCTGTCCTTCTGCATGTCTGCCACTGTTCGCCAGACCATCTTGGCTTTGGTCCAGAACAAGAACAGCTAAGGAAAAAAAAATGATCTTTTTTTTTCTCCAGTTGGACAAAAAAAAAGGAAAAAGAAGACAAAAAAAAAAAGAAAAAGGAGGAAGAAGAAAAGGAAAAAAAAAGGGACAGATGGTACGCTGTGACTGGTCGGTGGTCTAAAGACCTGGATATGCTTTCTTTGAAGCATATCACAACGTAAATAATCGTTTTCAGAAAGAAAGAAATGAACAGAACAAAGAGGAAAGAAACAAAGAAAAGGAAAGTCCACAATATGAGAGTCACTGACCATAAGCAAACAGTACAAAGGGAAAAAAAGAAGGTGGATGGACGTTCTTGGGATGGTTTTGAAAACAGGACAAAGATGAGGGGGATGAAAGGACAGAAAGAATGAGTAAGATCATTCTGTGAACGTTAGTTCAGCACTCTTACCTCTTATTGGTGTACCACCTGGGTGGATAATATGAATGCAAATAAGATTAGAAAGAAGAAGCATTAGTACAAGAAGGAGGAGGCTAGGGCTGGGGAGAAGAATTAAATTAGATTTACAGAATTCAATAAGGTCTTAAAAGAAACTTGAATTACTATACTGGTAAAACAGGAATGTATTAGATAGTATGATTAGATCATAAAAGCAAGTTGCATTATATCACAGAGGGCAAAGACCTCAACAGGCAGCATTGCCTTTCTCAGGGAAGCAACTGAGTTCTTAGCTCTGGGGTTATACAGGGTTAGAATTCTATCTCACAGGCCTCATATCCCTTCAAAAAAAAAAAAAAAAAGAAAGAAAAAGAACTATACAATATTTTTAAAAGCATAGTTTAGGAAATACTGGCTAATCTACTTAAGTATATATATAGATATGCATATATATATACTGTTACAGGAAATACTACAGATTAACTAGAAACAAATACTGCTGATTGGCTCATTTTATGCTATTTGTTAGGCTACATTTGTGTGATATAACTTGTGCACTATTTTATTTTTCTACACAGTGTTCTTAACGATAACAATTGTGTGGAGGTGTGTGTGTGCGCGCCACTACGGAGACCTGGTGTCTACACTGACAGTTAGTAAAATGCATGCCATGCATTTTATTAATAATAATAATATTCTGAATATGAAAATTAGTGGGGGTGAAGTGCGCTTCGGAACTGAGCACTTACCAATAGATTCTGGAGATTTAAATACGGAGAGAAGAAAGACAGCATAAAAATATTATTATACTCCTTATAATTTGGTACAAATTTTTCAGAGTTAAAGCTTTATATACTAAATCAACTATGTTACATGTGAATTAATTAATTCTTTATTTACAATAACAGAATGCTAAACTACACAATTCTGCTGACAACAAGCAAAAGATGTAGTTAACGAGACGCTTTAACATCACAGGACAGGTCAAAAGCTGAGAATTCTGGGAAGACAGGCAGTTATACAACTTAGAATTCTATATCAATATTACTACCAATGTCAAAGTAAACAGCTTATTAGTAAATGTCCCCATGACATTAACTAGGGACAGGCTCTAAAACTTAAGAAATTTAGAATTATCACTACTTTTAATCTAAAGAGAGCAAAGGAATAAACTTGGGATGGGGATAGGAGAGGGAGAAAGGGCAACGGGTAAAAGAAAGAGAGAAAGCAGCAAGAGCTGGAGTCTACACCAAAAGCAGACTTCTGTAGATCCAGTCACTGGAGGGCTCAAAAAACTTTAGCGTGGGCGCACACTACTGTGGCTATGTGTACAACATGCTCACTCACAATCATAATCGTATTAACCAAAATCCCCTCCTTCCATTGGTACTTTATCAAGAATTTTCTTAAAAAATACATCTGGTTACTCATGGGATGACGTTTCTGTGTTTTATGTATTAGTGACAAGAAAGCAGCTGTGCCCAGACTTACTAAACTTTGGTACTTTGATGAGGTCAAATGTAGAAGAGAGAGCAGAAAACATACTTTAATAAAATTGAATCATTTTAGTGTTTAATATGAACATTTTGATTTTTAATGGATATAACCATTGGAACTCCTTACAAGCTCTGAATGAAGTCCAATGTTGAAATAAATTTGTTGCAAAAGAAAACAGAGAAAGAAGAAAGAAAGAGGAGAAAATGGATCCATCAAATACTGCGGGAGAGCAGTAAATTAAAAAAAATTATCAAAAATACAGTCACAGCAGTGAGCGATGTGGATTAAACAGAAGCTGCAAAACACACAGAGAAGGAGAGAATCTCTGAAACGGGCTATGACATCACAGACATGGACAACACATTAAATAACAGAGAAAGAGAAGAGGGAGAAAAATCAATACCCAAAAATTAAAAAAAATAAAAGAAAAAGAAACAGAGAGAAAGAAAAAAAAAAAAAAATTCTGTAGGAGTTAGTGGGAACAGTAACAAGACCCTACCTGATCGTAACTGCTTAATACGGCCATTGTTGTTGCTCGTGTCGACAGGTAAGAAATCTTTGAACCAAGTGATTTCTGGATCTGGATTCCCACTGGCTGCACAAAGCATGGTGGCAGTGCGCGTACGCTCCACCACCTTCAACTGTGGGCCCATGTCAATGGTAGGGAAGCCCCTGGGAATTTGATCCTCTGAAAGACAAAAGGTAATACAAACCTGTTAACATGGCAGATGCCCGAGAGTTAAGAGATACTGACCACAAACTGCTCCTTTATCCTATTCAACATTTGTTGAGAATCTAATACAAACCAGGCAGCAATGCACTATTAGACTTGTTAGTTGTTAGTTACCACAGACCCCATAAACAATAAAACAAAACATTGCCTGGCACTGTACCATCTTCATGATTACGAGTATGCTTGAGCCATTGTTGCAGCTATTGTGCAGTGCCCTTCCACCCTGGGGGATTCATCTTCTAGGATTATACTGTACAGCAGAGGAAATCCCCAACTTACAACATATTTGAGTTACCATGAACTGCATGTACAACCATCCCTATTTTTTTTTTTTTTTTGGTACATCTTACCGTTAGTAATATGTACTACATACAATGTTGCAGCACACAATTTGCTGATGTTATTATTCTCATGCCAACCCCCAAAGACAAAGATTGGGTTTATAAAGATACTGATAACAAAAGGCAATAATAATGAAAATTAAAAAAAAGAAAAATGAGGTATTCGACTTACGTCAGAACCGACTTACAAGGGAGCCATTGGAACAGAACCGTGTCCTAAGCCGGGGACTACCTGTATTCTGTTGTGATCCACAGAGTTTTCATTGGCTAATTTTCAGAAGATCACTACCCCTTTCTTCTTAGTCTGTCTTAGTCTGAAAGCTCCACTGAAACCTGCCCACCTTGGGTGACCCTGCTGGCATTTGAAATACCTGTGACATAGCTTCCACCATCACAGCAACACGCAAGCCACCACAGTATGACAAAATGACAGACTGGTGGTGGACTATCAGATTAGATACAGTTAAAATATGTTCTCTGACCAGAAAAGCACACGGTGTGTGTAGGAAGCCAACAGTCCAACCAAGATCTTGGACACTGTGTGACAGAGGCCACGATGAACGAATGTGGCTAAGTTCTCTGGCAGCACAGAGGGAGAGGTAATTATGACATTTCTGCCTGGGGAGGTCAGCAAGTACCAAGAGGAAGCTCAGATTTGAAATGGGCCTTTAAGAACAAATAGAGTTGGCTAAATCACATAGAGGAAGAAGGGCCCTTTAGAAAGATGGGAACATCACAGGTACAGGCACTGAGGCAGCAAACTTCTCCATGATAGATCCACATGTGATCCAGCAGGGCTAGTGCAGAGAATGCATGGGCAGAAGTAGCTTTCCAGGGTGAAGTGACCAGTGTTTGAAGCTCATATGTTTTTCTTATAAATACGTTTAACTAAAAGTATAGTTTTTCTTCAACACAAGCATAGGATTCTACCTGAATAAATTCCTTCATGGGAAGTTTCATTTACCGTATTTTTTGCATATAGCATGACCACATAAATAATGCACCCACACATATAATGAACGGAAATGATGAAATTAAGTAAAACAGTTCTGGCATAGCGTGCACGTTATTTGGGGAAAAAATATGGTCATCAGAAAATTGCCTACAAGTTCCCCTTACAAGAGGAAACAACAAAAGCAACTCTCCATTAATGACAGAAAAACATACATTGCTTAGGATAAGAGCATGTTTTCCTCTATCCCAGAGTCCTGGTGGTGCAGTGGTTAAGAGCTCAGCTGCTAACCAAAAGGCTGGCAGTTCGAATCCACCAGCTGCTCCTTGGAAACTCTATGGGGCAGTTCTATTCTGTCCTATAGGGTCACTATGAATCGAAATCAATGGCAATGGGTTTGGGTTTTATTTTTATGTTTTTAATCATGAAGTCCTGCACCATTTTAGTAATTAAAAAGCAGAAATCTCTAAATGTTGAATCTTCAACTCATCCAAAGTTTACTTCTCCCCATCTCCACATCAAAACTGCTCTAGCTCTCAGATTTTGAGAAACTAAATTCCACTGAAATCTAAGTGTAACCCATACCAATAACCTGCATTGGCAGTTTTCCAGCCAGGATCAGAAAGGTATATTCTGTCCAAGCATGGCAGGATTTTTAATTATGTAGATGATAATTCTCCAAAAAAGAATTTGGCCATTTGTTTGAAGAGCATTAGGAAATATTTTGACTTTGTTTCCCCCTCTACATCATGAGTTGCCCCATGTCTCATTTGCACCTAATTTCCTTGCCACTAAACTAGTCTGGATTATCAAATTTTAAGAAAATCTCCAGTTATTACCAAGCCTATATATGAATATAAACCAAGGAAAAAAACCAGTTATCATGGAGTCGACTGCAACCTCTGGCGACCCCACCTGTCTCAGGGTAGAACTGTGCTCTGCAGAGTCTTCATGGCTGTGACTTTTGGAAGTAAATCAACAGGCCTTTCCTCTGAGGTGCTTCTGGGAGTCATCTGAACTGCTAACCTTTTGCTTAGTAGCCAAAAGCTTAACCATTTGTGCCACTCATAGGACTCCTACGTGTGAATGTTGTTGTTAGGTGCCATCAAGTCGGTTCCGACTCACAGTGACCCCATATAAAACAGAACAAAACACTGCCCCGTCCTGTGCCATCCCCACAACCGTTACGCTTGAGATTGTTGCAGCCACTGTATCAATCCATCTCACTGAGGGTATTCCTCTTATTCGCTGACCCTCTACTTTACCAAGCATGAATATATGTGTCAATATATACCATTTATTATGGAAAATGTTTTCCTACTTCACAGAGTAGTAGAGTGGTAGTTAGATGAATAGTTAAGGGGCAGAGAGAGAGAGATTTTGAATAGTGAAACAATGTCAAGAGATTACCAGAGAATAAAGCTTCCAGGAATGAGAAGGGTTAGTGAACAACAGGTTATTATAAGGTAAAACTGAGGGACTAATTAACAGGGGAAAGTATAGACTGTGGCTCTCCTACTAGGCAGGAATGGCAGACTAACCATTTCAATCTGTTACATTGTGATCTAATACTAACCATTTGTGAGAGATGAAAGGGAGTTGCAGCAAGTTGGGTCTGACACCTGGATTTACTCAGAATATTCTGCTGCCACCCAGCTAGTTAGGGGTTCCAAAACCCACTAGTGCTGGGTCAATTCCAACTCATAGCGACCTTATGGGATAGAGTAGAACTGTCCCACAGAGTTTCCAAGGATGTAAATCTTTATGGAAGCAGACTGCCACATTTTTCTCTTGCGATGCAGCTGGTGGGTTAGCTAGGGTTAAGGACTTAAATAAATAAATAAATAAACATTGTTAACTTTAATTAACTACATTTTACTTAAGTGGAGAGATACCTGCTTGGCTGGGCTGTCTTCTCCACCTCTCCCTACTCTGCATTACCAAGACCACACCCTGTATCATTACACATCTCTGCCTCCTCAGCAAAAACCCCATGCCTGGTACCAAGCATGCATTTTGGAAACATTATTTGAATGAATGCTGGTGAATGTCGTTGTTTTCCTATGCTATTAATAGAAATGATTCTAGCCTAAAGTCATCCAAGAGCTACCAAGACATGAGTCAGTGGTGTCTTTGGAATCTGTTGACAGGAATGGTCTCATAAACCAGAATTAAAGGACATGGCTCTTTTGAGGAAGCAGCATTACATTCTCTGTATGTGGATACATATACATCCTCGGCCAAGCAGAGGTCTACAGTCGACAAGTGTCAGAAATTGCAATCAAGAATGGAATTCCAAGACAATTTTTCAAGGCTTACAACGGAGAGTTAAAAATTACAAGTGGGATGAAAAGTATTGTGCAAATTAGGCTATACTAATTTGACTAATCTATTGCTCTTGAATTTCATCAGGCTGTCCTTTATGGCTTTCAAGTTTTCGATAATGTATTGACATCCATGGAGCAGTTTTAATGTTTGGGGACCAAAAAAAGAAAAAAACAGAAGAGCAGAAAGATCAATAGCTGTTGTACAATACACATTCTATTATTAAACATCTTGCTTGGCAGCTACGACACAAAATGCTTCAAAGAATAAAAATATTTCCCTCAAGTGCTCCGAAGTCAACTACACTGCCTTTGTCACCCAGAAATGACTCTCCGAAAAAAGCTCTAAGATTTTGTTTTTGTGGGTTTTTTTTCCGTTTAGATTTTTAAAATAACTCCTGAAGTCACCAACTTAGGTTAAAAATATCACCTTGGGATTCTCGAGCTGTTTCTGTACTTTCCAGTCCTTTGTGTCTCTCAGATAATGTTTTAAGGACTCGTTGCATTAGTATGTATAACTAATGCTCTACTAGTCATTACTTCTCTTCTACAAGTTCATCCCTCTGAAGAACCAAGCCAATACTCGGTGCTCATCAGTGAGTGCTAAGTGTTAAAGGCTTCCTAAGATTGTTGAACCACTTACTCAAGGATCTTACCAAAGAAATCCAGATTTAATAACCATTTATAAGAAAAAGTCCTCAGCTTGGGAACAGTTGACAAAATTGACTTGCACCCTACTGCAAGCAGCCTAATACACTTGCATGACCTTTGTTTTTCTTCTTGGCTCATAAGGAACACTCCAGAGCCCCCCTTTCATATATGCAAGTACATAACAAAGATAATTCTTCCTGCATACTAATCGGCCAGAGACTGTAAAGACTATCCCTTTCTTATTTTTAATAAGGGTAATTAAATTCCATTCATCTCCCCTTTGCACAGACCCTCTTTGAATGCACTTTCTTCATGAAATTTTCATGAGCAACATTACAATGTAACAGATTCAAATAGCCAGAGCGGTTACACTTTGACAGTTGAGGCTTGTTGCCAATTTGACTGTCAGGTATTTGGCAATAAAATCCAGTATTCGACATAAAACAAACTGTAGAAATAATGAAATTTCTAATTGGAATGCTTATCTCAATGGGTGTAGTTTACAAGATGTTAATTGGTTTTTTTAAATTTTTTTTTCACCCTCTACAGTTATTAGTGATTTATATAAAACTGCCTTGGCCATTTGAAAACATCACTTCTGACAGCTCATCAAACGTGGGGTACCAGAAAGTAGGGAATCAAATCAATACTCTTTATACTTTAACCACATAAACTTTCACAGGAAAA